CGCGCAGCACTGTTTGGTGGTCCGAACGATGGTATCAACGTCGTAGCTCCAGGAACGTCGTAGCTGCAGGGACCCAGGCGGCCGAAGAGATCGAAGAAACCGCGGCACGCTTGCGTGGGCAGCCAGAGCGCACCCCGGCCGAGATCTTGCAGGGCACGTACCGCAATCTCTTCAATCTCTTTGGCCGCCTGGGTTCCTGGAGCTACGACGTTGATACCATCGTTCGGACCACCAAACAGTGCTGCGCGTTCACGGGCACGCTGCTGGGCGTCGGGGAGCTCGTGAGCAGATGGGTCGAGACGAATGTTTCTGTGAGCCAGACACATCAAACTATTTTGATATGATATACAGCAAAGTCACCTCGCTTCTTGCGCGTGTGAGTCTTTGGCAGTGTTTGGGCGACGTGCACAAAGACAAATAGCCATCCCCTCAGAACCGGATCCGGATAAAGATGTCGGCGCGAACCACGGGTTGGTGAACCTATCTATCATTGCATAGACTATGCTAGTCTCTCACAGCCGTGTCCAAGCAGCGCCATCAAGAATCTAACAACTGCGACAATGCATCTGCATGCATGCTGCACAGAGGTGCCCGTTTGGAGCTGCCTCGTGCACGTGTACTGTTGAAATGGGCTCCAAACGGCAACATTGATTAGCCATTATGTCTGCCAAACCATGGGACCCGCCGGTGGTGTTGGACAATACGCTACGCTCACGTAAAAACAACGCCAACGGCCATTCCTCGACGTCGTTCATAGAGCTTTTTCACTTGTCTCAAAACAATGGGTCGCTCGCCAACCACTTTTTTAAACATTGACGGCAAGCGCCTTGCGATCGCTGTCAAGCTCAAGCCCACCACACTGGCGGACCTTCGCGACTACTTGACGACACAACACCACATGACGGAGCACGATCGTTTTATCCTCTTTTGGTACAAGAACAGATTGCCAGCGACGGACAAGCACGTGCCGTACGAAGTCGAGCCACTTTGCGAGCGCTCGATCCCTACGAGCGCGTTGTACGAGTTTGGTGGTCCGTACGCCGGTGTCATTCGCCCGCGCTCCAAGAAGGTCATCCGAGACATGCGGATCGTGCCGGCCCCGTGCAAGGCCAGAGCTCGGAGCGTACAACATGTCGTGTAGATAAGCTTGTAAGGTGTAATGAACCACAACGTGTTGTGCATGGAACTCGTTGTTTTTTCGCTGCACGAGCTGTCTGCTGCGACTGGATTATCGCTTAGTAAGGTAGTGTGTCGTACTTGGCTGGGGACTCACTGGGGGATTTAGCGTATAGGGAGCCATAAATGCGTGGGATTAGTGTCGTGGTGGCGGCAAGGACTTTTTCTGCAACCGTCCCGAGCTTAGATCGGGTGATGCACATCGACCGTTGGCGTGTGTGGTTGGCGCGCCGCCCTTTCCCACAGCTAGACAGGTTGGACAATAGGTAGTGGGGCCGACCAACGCAACGGTATGAACTCAACTCGGTCATTTGTCCATTGAGCTTGTGATGGCGACGCGCTACTACTTTGAGATTGGCCCGCAAAACGTCGTCGTGACTTTTTCTGGGACGCCGACGGTCGCGGATGCCCGAGAGTTTTTGCAGCCCAAGGGATACATCACGGAGGCGACGCCGTTCCATTGCCCTCACGGTAAGTACTCGTACGAAGTCGACCGCAAGAGCGAAGCCGTCATACCCCTCACCGAACTGAAGCGTGCAGATGGAACCATTGGCATTATTTGACTGTCGCCAGTCAACGCCTAACAGCGTCTCGTGTGCTGGTTCGCCCGGGTGGTCTGGGATCTAAGGGTGACATCAATCGATTTTCTGCCCTTTTGTGGTACACATCTGATCATCGACATTTCGTGCATTCTTGCCGATACACAGCGATTGAGTAGCACTGACTGAGTCGTCCATCTCGACG